GTCTTTCGGGGCAGTGACCCCACAGTGTCCTTTGTATTGTGTGGAAAATGTGCGCGCGCTAAGGAGTTTTGCTTTTAATTAGAGAAGCCTCTTGTGTGCTATGTTTTTCTCTCCCTCCCTGGCATTTGGTGGTAAGTGTGCTGTGGTAGGGATTAGCAGGTCAGAGGGATGGCAGAAGCAGGCTGACAGCTTGGTGTTCACACTGAAAAGTTTTCTGTCTTCCCTCCTCCTCAGGCCTGCTGTGAGGCACAGAATGAATCAAGAGGGGGACAGTGGCCTCTGGGTTGGGATCAAATGCCTTGGAATGTGTGAGGTAATGTGAGAAAGAGAATGGAGAGATTTGGTTGTTAAAAACCTGTAAGAGAATTTTAGAGACATTACAGCTATTGATTTCTCATCTAGCCCTGGGGACCAATTAATCTCAGAGAGAATTCCCAGGAAGTTTGGGGTTAACTGATCCTCATGAAAATCAGACAAAGAGAATCAGAGTTCTAATGAAGTCCCTCTGGAGTATGTTTCACAGGCTCTCATGCTTCTGTAGTCTTTATATTAGCTGTACTTCTATTATGTCATTATTACATTGTACATAATTATGATAATAGCTGTCATGGCTGACATTGTGGGATTATGACTTAGTCATCTGTACATTTTCAGCACCTCACATAATACCTTGCAAATAATGGGCATATAATGAGTGCTTGAAAAAGGAATATAAGAATACAGAGAAAATAGGAGAGAGGAAAGGGGGAAGGGAAAGGAGAGACAAGAGGAGAAAGGAGAGAGATGAGAAGGCAAGGGAAGGGAGAGGAGAAGGAAGGAGGAAAGGGGAGAAGTGAAAGAAAAAGGAAGAAATGGGAATGGAAAGAGGATGGACAGATTCAGGGAGGAATACGGAGGAGGAAGGCAGGGACATCCAGACTAGCACTTATTTTTAGAGTTGTAGCAAATGCCAGAAAGGTCTTACAGATTCCTACAAAAGGGATATAACTTTTCCCAATAACACATCCCAGAGTAACAGAACTATTTTGAATAGAGATGCCAGGAGATCCACAGCTCAGTTCCATCTATTCACTACCCTGGGAGGCTAAGTCTTCAGAGAGTATAATGCATGTTAAAGAGGAGGCAATCTAATGAGATTTAGACAGCACATAGATTTAGAAAGCCATGTCTGCTAGCTGGGAAGGAAAAAGAGGTAGACATTCTCTAACACAGGAAACAGTATAATGGAAATGTCATTGTATTATTCTTCCTCTGCTTCTGAAGCATGAACGGGAACTTTTCATCTATTTCTAACTCTCCGGTAGATTATGTAAAACAAACCACTGCACTTTTGCAAACCCGGAGCACCTTTCCCTCTTTTCTTAGTCTCCTGAGGTTGGTGAGTTGCTTGTTGTTCAGCAGTTTGCTTGCCAGAAGGAGTCACTGTAATGAGACTTTGGAACCTAAATGTGAAAAATCTCATGAATTTGGAAACGAACGTGCTTTCTGCTATTTGAAGACAAGTTGACTCCAATTCCAGGACTGGCTCAGCACACTGCCACTTCTCATTCACATTCCTAGTGTCTTAGCTCAGCTTATGAGGTGCAGGCAGCCACCACTTTCCAATGCTTCTCCTGCCAGCAGGCAAAGTCACCTGACAGAAGAGGTCTGACAGTGTTAGATATCTGCTAGAGATAAAATGGGTGTGGAACAGAAAACCCTAATTTCTTCACGAGGGTTAATACAAGTACAGTACAACGTGAAGATGTTATTGGAAAAGGAAACCATAAAACTTAGTTCTCTTAAACATCGGGGCAGTGCAGATATCTACTTTATTCTTGTGTTATTTTTAGGTTGGCTGAGCAAACGTGAAAGAACTCAAAAAACATGTAAACATTCATAGATACTCACTTCACACATAGTGAAGGTTAATCCACTTCCACTAAAAAAATATTTAAACACATAAAATATACTTTAATATATTAATATTCTAATTAATATATTAATTAATATATTAATTAGAATATTAATATTCTTAGTAGAATACTTGACTTTTCTCAAGGTTGTGAATACAAACACACACACACTAGAACTCCCTTCCTTTCATTTTTTCAAACATGGGGATCACACCCAAAGATCCAAGATCTCATGCTTGCTAGGAAAGCATCCTCTTGCTGAGCTACACCCCAGCTCTTCCTTTCCTGGGTAGAGACTTCCCATTTTTCTATGCGTTGTCACTCATAGCTATGTGCTATGGCAGTGGTACATGGATAGTTCCTGTACCCCAGCAGTGCTGGCCACTGTTGATTACCTTTTCTTTACAACTAAATCTTCTTTCTTCAATCTTCTGTCAAGATGGCTTAGTGGTCATAAATTCCTTAAATATGTTATTGACATGGGAAACTTTTCTTTCTCCTTTGATTATTACTGATAGTTTTGCTGGGTAGTAGTCTAAGCTGGCATCTGTGGTCTTTTATGGCTTCTAGAAAGTGGATCTAATCCCTTTTGGCTTTCATAGTCATCACTGGAAACTCTGTTGTTATTCTGATGAGTCTGCCTTTGTACATGAATTGATCTTTCTTTTACTGTTTACAAAATCCTTTCTTTGCTCTGTACATGAGCATTTTCACTTTCATATAATATTAAGAGTTATGGTCCTGTCTATTTGGTGCTGTACATATTTTGTATCTTTTTTAAAAACTTAAAGAAAAAACCACTTTGGCTCTTTGTGAATTTCACATTATGTACCCCAATCCCACTAATTTCCCCTCCCCTCTTACACACATTCCACTTTTACAATGTCCCTCTCATCAGAGGAAAAAAAATCTCATTGTGAAAGCTGTAGTGTGCCACAGTGTGTCTTACAGTATACCCTTTTGCCCACATTTCTTTGCTTGCAAATGTCCATTGTAGTTACTCATTGATCTGATATGAGGTCTCTGGCTTCTGCTACTTGTGGAGAGCTTTGGGTACCCGCTTATAGAAATTTGACAAGTACTTGTCACTGGGCTCAAGGAAGTAGGCTCAGATAAGAGTATTCACATTTGGGCTAATGCAAGGATCAAGGTGAACACAGCCAAGGAATGTGTGATTTCCCTTTTGTCTTGTAATCCAGATAAGCCCTCAGACCCAGTGACTCTGGTGACTTTGTTTATTGCTTTGTTTGATTGCTACCTGATGTGATCTTTTTGCTCATTGCCTTGTTTGATTACTTTGTCTTTGATCTAACAACTAACCCTATTCTCTGCAACAGTGATATAACCATTCTGCCTAGAATGGTATAAAAGCTGACTGGTAAGAAATAAATCCACCTCAGCCTCAACACTGGCTGGAGTCATGTTATAATGTTTGTCTAATTGTCTTTTTTCTTTCCAATCCTCATTCCTGTCCTTAAGACCCTGTTGACTGAGTGAGCTGGCTTGGTCAGCTACTCAATACTGGAGCCTCACTGAAACTCCTTTTGGATATCCTGTTGTTGCCCTGCGTCATGTAGATTCTGTAGTTTTGCATCTGTAGGGCCAGCCCCTTTATGCACTCCAGAAGTTCATCAATGGGGTAGATATTGGGGTGGATCAGTTCAAAGCCCTTGATCTAGACCTGAGAGGTAACTGAGTTTGAAAGCCTTTTGACTCTCTTCCCTACATGCCTTGGTGCAGGCCCACCAGCAAAACCTACATACAGGGACAGCTCTGTATACAGGGCTGCTCAGGCAAGGTACAGAGCCTGCTCTCCCAAGTGCTGCAACAGATGAGGGGCCGGGACAGCTCTCCTGCTCTCATGATTCCAGGGCCAGCTTCTCTACCTTCCACAGGGGGCAAGGGGCAAGGGTTAGGATGGGCATCTCTCCCTTGGCCACATTGCCAAAAGGTAGACAGGTTGCAGGGCCAGCTCTCCCACACTCACTCCCTCACAGTCAGCTCACTGAACACCCCTGCCATCCAGGTCAGTTCTTCTGTGCTGCCTAGGTGAGGTGTAGGGCCTGCTCTCCCCAGTGCTGCTGCAGGTGATGGGCAGGGATGTCTCTCCATCTCTTATGACTCCATCAGGGCCAACTCTCCTATCTACCATAGGTGGGAAGGGACAAGAAGTGTGTGTGGGGGGATCTCACCCATGTCACCACATGGCAAACAAATGGTGGGGTCATCTCTCCCTTGGTCATGCCCTTGGAGTCAGTTCTATTAAGCTGCCCAGGAGAGGGTGCATGGCTATGCTCCTGAGTGTGGTACGTGGTGAGAGGCAGGGACAACACTCTTGCTCTCATGACCCAAGGGCCAGATCTCCCACGTACAGCAGATGGTGGTGGTGGTGGGGGATGGGATGTATTTCTTCCTCCTCCATGTGGCCCACCACAAGGGAGACAAGTGGCCTGCTCTCCTGAGTACTATAGCTTGCTAGGAATGGGATCAAATCTCCTGCTCTCAAGCTCCCAGGACCAGCTCTCCCATGATGCCTAGGTTAGGAGTGGAGCCAGTTTTACACAGCCTTCAGACATCAACATGCTCCCTGGCAGCAGCCCAGACCAGGGATGTCCATCTGGTCTTTGGTTGTAATAGACTCATGTTTCTGAAAAGCCATGGACCCAGACATGGCCCCAGGTAGCAGCACCCCAGCATGGTCTCAGCTGGCATCACTGGCTACTCATATCAGGCTGTTACTCACTACCCTAGAGTCTCCAGTTCTACTTCTTTTCATTGTGGCCACATCCTTCTGTTTCTCTTTCTTTTCCATTTCTCCACAGCTATTTGCTCCTCTTGGTGGTGCTTGGGATCTCTGAATGTCTAGGGTCATCTTTAGAGTAGTCTCAGGAATAATATGCTCCACTCATGCATTATGACACTGGGCAGAGGTCATCTCAGGATAGCCACATGTCTGGGCTCCATGCCAGTCTGGTGGCTGTTTCCCAGCCAGGGCTGTGGTCCCACGTGGGGTTCTTATAGATTCTGGGTTGCTTCCCACCTTGGGAGTCCGTCAGGACCTATGGCTCAGGACTGTTGGTCATCTCAGACTTGCTTTTCTCAGGGAATGTTAGGCTACTAACTCATTCAGATGTTCACAGGTCAGAACACTAAGAATAGACATAGTCTTTCTCCTCTCTGACACCTACAAATGCACATGTGACACAGAAGCCACATATTCATTGTCTCTAGGAGCAGTATCTCTTATGTCTTGATAAGTATCTCTTTCCTTAAACTAGAGAAATTTTTTTCTATGATTTTGATAATATTTTCTGTGATCTGAGCTTCTGTTCCATCTTCTACACCTATTTGTATATTTTATAGTGTCCCAGAAATCCTGCATATTTTATTCTCAGATTTATTTGAATTTGATATGTTATTTGATCATGTAATCCAATTCCTCTATTATGTTTTCTGGACCCAATATCTTTACTTCCACTCCATCTAATCTATTGGTGAGGTCTTCTGAAAGTTTTTGTTTGAATGCCTAAATTTTTTTCATCCATTTCCAGTTTTATTTCATTTTTACCTTTTCAGAGATTTTTTTTAAATCTTTTTATTAGATTTTGTTTTTATATATTGAATTGTCTTTATTGTTTCATTATGCCATTCATCTGTTTGTGTTTCTGAAGTCTTCCTTCCAGCATTTACTCATATCTGCTTTGAGTTCTATGATTGAATTTATTATTAATGATTATTTTTAAGTATATCTTAATTAAAAGGTTAATTACATCACTGCTTCTTCCCATCCTCGCTCCCATATCTCTTCCCTTAAATCCCCCCTAAGTTCTCCACACACCCTCAAAAATTGATGGCCTCTTTATTTCTAATTATAATTGTTACACATACATATATCTATATATGTACAAATATATAGTTATAACGTGCTAAATACATTTTTGTTGTTTATGTGTATATGATTATAGGAATGATCACTTTGTATTGGATAATCAATAAAGGAATTCATCTCTGAGAGATAATAACTCTTCCTATTACAGGAGTCACTGGTTGTATCTATCTATCCCTTTGATTAGAGATTAGACCCCATGAGAATTTCCTCCGTCAGTGTTAGCCATCTATTGATAATATTATCCTTCAGGTATTGTTTTACTAGATCATTATCATTATGTGTTTTACTAGACACACTATCTCACAGCAGACTTCCGTGGCATCTTGCTCTTACAATCTTTCTATTCCCCTTTCATGATCCCTGAGATTTAGATATAGGGATTATGTTGTAGATGTAGTCATGCCCCTCACCATCTGCTTATCTCTGCCTTTTATCATGTTGTAGTTTTCAGTTATAATATTTTGTATAAGAATTTAAATCCAGCAATGTGGCTATCCTGACAAGGAATAACAATCAAAAACCTAGGTCTGTATGATCTGGCTGGAATACTGACTGCCAGGAACTAGCCCAGCACCAGGAACTGAGGAAAGAGGAAAATAGCATTGGATAGGATGAGCAGATCTCAGGAGCAAAAAAGAAACCAAAAAACAAACAAACAAACAAACAAACAAAAAACAAAAAAAAATCCGTAGTCTTGCGGGGGCTAAAATTGCTTACTTGTAGTAATATTTACATTTCTTAATTCTTTGCTATTCTAAGACCAAAAGCAGTTGGCTTTTGGTAGTCAACTCTTGCTGGCAGCAGTAGGGAATTGAGAAGAGAAAGAGCTTAATTGCTAGAGCTCTTCTCTCTTGTCTTGAGAGCCCCTCACTTGCCAGGTGAGAGGCTTGGAGCTTGTCAACCCTTTGTGAACCGGAGAGCAAAGAAAATGAAGAAAGAGAGAATTCAAGCACACACATAAACACACACAGACACACACACCCTGATTGGGCCCAACCCCCTGTCTTATACCTGTTCATGCACACACACATACATACATATATACCTACACACATATATATGTAGAGACAAACTGACCTATACATATATACATTTTGGTGGGTGGGCCGGAGACCCCAAGCCACACTTTATTCCTAATCTCTTGCCTTCTTATACCTTCTAAGATGAAACCTTATAGACAATAATGTTACACAAAAGAGGAATTACAGGAGGATGTTGATATTAAGTTCAAAGCAGTGTTTCATTCTATAAACTCATAAGTTCAAAGCAACAGTTTCACATGACCCCCCTTTATCATAGTACACACCTGTGGGGCTTCATCCTTGGACTTGACCTAGAATGACTATTTTTTTCTTGGTTGTAAGTCTGTTCCAAAACTGCTTTATTATCCTAATACATTTAGACCATAGCACATGAAAGCTATAGCACCCTATTTGTAGCATTTCAGAGAGCTGGAAATTACTAGCATAAATTTAGGAAAATCTATAAAATCATTATCAGGAATTATCAAATCATCAGTTTGTCTGCACAGCATTACTACATGATAGTGCATTTTCATGGAGTTGCAGAAAATCTTCCCAATAGGGTGTGATAATGTTCGGGAATGTAACAGTGACAGGAAAGGCATATCAGTATCAAGAAACATTCCTGGGATAAAAATCTCTGAAGGCCCTGAAATTCAGAGCTTACCCATTGCAACCATGCAAAGCAGTGGGACATCTCCAGAAAACTTACTTGCATGCCTTTAGTCTTTCCTAGATGGCTCCTAACAACAGATACATCCTTAATACACACCTTTAATCCCAAACAATAATGATAAAGTTAGTTTGTAGATGGCAGCATCCATGTTTAAAAATGATGTATAACTGAGGGGCAGGCAAAGTGATGAATCAGAGAAAGATTTGACAGAATGAGTCAGAAATAGTATATAGCCAACTCTTAGGAGAACAGACAGGAAACAGAAGCAGTACAGGGAGAAGGAGAAAGAGAGGGAGAGAAAAAGGAAGAGAGAGGGAGGGAAGGAGGGAGGTGTGCAGTTTTATTGAAACAGTTTTACAGAGACAGAATAAGCCAGAGACTAAAAAGGAGTCAGAAAATTAGAACTATCTGCCAGAGATAGTTTGAGGCCAAACATAGCAATTCAATCAGAAGCCAAGAGAAGCCAGTTTGAGTCAGTCAGCTTGGAGAAGAGGTACGTACTAAGGATGTGTCTGTTGTCAGGAGCTATCTAGGAAAGACTAAAGACATGCAGGTAAGTTTTCTGGAGATGGCCTACTGCTTTGCGTGGCTGTGATGGGTAAGCTCTGTAAATTGCAGAGCCTTCTGAGATTTTTATCCAGAGAGGAGTTTGGGTCAGAACAGCTGAGTTGAACCAGCCAGCCAGAATTCAGAAAGAGCTAGAAAAGGTGAGTTTATTCAGCAGTAAGCTTTCTCTGAGATGACAATTAGATCTGGCAAATAAAAGTTACTTTTACAATTCCCATTGCTACATAGAAATGCCTCTTTGATAAGGAATAAGAGCTACACTTATCTGTGAGTATAAGGATACATTTTGGAATATAATTAGGAATTATGCTCAAGTACTGAATTGGCAGTAGTAGTTTCTGTTCTAAGGTCCATGACTTTGCTTGTAACAAGTAATTAGCTAGGTTTTAGTACCAGGTATGGTTTTCTTTCTGTTGAGGGTGTCATATGTCCAATTAGAAAGCTGTTGGTTACCATCAAAATAAGAATTGTACCTTAGCCATGGTGGTCATTGTTGTGGTTCATAGACATGGATATATAGGATTACTGATTGCATCCCTCCCTTGGCAACTTGAATATTACTATCTAGTACTATAGAAGATAGATCGCATGAATGAGGCTTTCAGGTTAGGTCTACTTTGAATCATCTGACTCCTTTGTCCTAGGTGTGTGATGTCTTCAACAATATGGACTTACCTTCAACTTTTGAGAGACAACCAAAGGCAGCAGCAATAGCCTGTATGGTTTTGGAAGTCAGTTGGACTACCCTAAACAACAACTTGAAAGGAGGTTACTTATGTTTAGTACTGGGATTTTTGTTAGACAGTCTACAGCTCTTGTTGAGAGTGTTGTCATCCCAAGAGGCATATGTGTATGTGTGTACTTAAATTTAGGTCTTCTATTTATTCCATTGTTCTACATATCTGTTTTTGTGCCAAAATACATTATTGATTTTTAATTACCATATGTATATAACATATCTGGAAATCTGGAATGTTAATTTCTCCAGTCTTCTTTATTCTAAGGATAGCTTTGGCTCTCTGGAGTCTTTTCTGGTTCCATATAAACTTTAGATTGTTTTTATTTCTGTGTGGAATGTTGAGGGTATTTAGATTGAGATCACATTGACTTTGTAAATTGCTTTTTGGTAGGATGGTCATTTTTGAAATAGTAATTCTACTTTTCCAGGAACATGACATACCTTTCTGTTTTCTAGTGTTTTCTTTATTTTTCTCCAGAGATTTTGAATTTTCATTGTAGAGATTTTTCACCTCTAGTTAGGTTTATTCCAAGATACTTATTGTCTTTGTGTCTTCTGTAGACAGAACTGTATCCATGATATCTTTGAATTCATGCTGCTGAACTTTGTAAGTTGAGTGTGCATTCTCCCTCTTTGCTGAAGTTGTTGGCCATGTCTAGATGCTTTCTGCTAATAGGAAATATTATCTGCTAATAGGAATAATTTGACTTTTTCTTTTCCTATTCATATCCCTTTAATTTCCTTCTTGTCCCATTGTTCCAGCTGGTGCTTTGAGTATTGTATTGAAGAAGAGTAAGGGCATGGGTAGCCCAATCTTCTTCCTGATTTAATTAGTTTTTTTGAGACTTTCTTCATTTAGGAGGATGTTGGCTGTGGGTTTGTCATGCACAGTCTTTATTATATTAATGTATATTCCTTAAGTCAAACACTCTCTAGGACTTTTATCATGAAAGCACATTAGATCTGTCAAAAGCCTTTTCTGTATATCTTGAGTGACCATGCAGTTTTTTTCTTTAGGTCCAGTTAAATCACCTATTATATTTATTGACTAATGTATGTTGTAATATCCCTGCTTTGGGGGATAAAACTTAATCTTCTTGGTATGTACATCAGGAATATTAGTCTAGTGGGTTTGTTTTTGTTTTTGTTTTTGTTTTTGTTTTGTTTTTGTTTTTTTGGAGTGTGGACTTACCTGCTTTTCTTGTATTAGAGAAATACTGGCTTCATAGAATGTGTTTGGAAGTGATCCTTCTATTTCTATTTTTGAATAGTTTAAGAAGTATCGGTTGCAGATTTTTAAAAGTCTGGTGGAATTTCATTGTGAATCTATCCAGACCTGGTGTTG